GCGCTAGGTTGAGCGCGGGCGGCCGGGGAAGCTCGGAGGGCGGACGGCGGTGCGAGCGCTCGGCCGGGGGCTGCGGGAGCGGGGACACCGCGGCGGCGGCGGCTGCTGCAGGACGAGCCCAGGGGACACCGCCCCTGCCCGCGCTCTGCCTCAGCCCAGAGCTGCTCCCCAGGGGCTTGTGCGGACTCGCCTGCGTGAAGGTGAGCTGGGCCCCAGGCGGGTTCCAGCCGCGGCCTCCCCGCGACCCGGGCGGGCCGGACCCCGAGGCCTGGAGCGGGCTGCCGGGTGCGGGCTGAACCACCCTGCGCTCCGGGGACGGTGGAGGCCCCGCGCTGGCGCTCCTGCAGCCTGGGGAGACTCCCTGCGTCGCTGGAGGCCTCGGGTGTCCGGGGCCGGCGGGGAGGAGGGGTGGAGAGGCCTCGGGCGTGACGCGGCTCCTCCTGCGGTCGCCATCCTCTGGGGCGTCCTTCCTGCGCCGCGGACTCCCGTCACCCCGGCGCCGCTCCAGGCCTGGAGGGGGAGGGCGGCTGACCGAGCGCGGCCTGCGGACCTGGCCGGGAGGCGCGGGCGGGAGGCGGGGAGGCCCGCCGGTGGATGCTCCTTCATTCCCCAGGTGCTGCCCTTCGGGGCCGCTGCCCTCTGGAGGGCACAATGGTGGATACGGCCCCCTTGGAGATCCGAGGGGACGGAGTAGAGTTTGTGTGTGTGCGCGAGTGGTGGAAGGCGGTCCGGGGCATCCGAGGCTTAGCTCTTTTTTGTCTCAGGAGGGACCCAGAATGGGAGCTGTCCCGGAGTGCCCCATTCGCTTTCCACCGGAGCTCCTGGCTCGTGACTGAGGAAGCTGGCTTGGGGCCCTCTGGCCATCCTTTTATCTGGAGGCCCAGACCCTTGTCCCCTTTCACCCCAGGAAGGAAGAGCCAGCCCGGCATCTCCCTATCCTTGTGGCCCTGGCACCTTGCATAGATAGGGGTGGTTGGGGCTGGGACTTACCTTTCTCTGGCCCGAGGGGCCAGGGGTGAAGAATCGTGGTATTGTCACAAGACTGGCATTATGTAATCGCAGGCTCTCTTCTGGAGAGTAAGATGGCTTTTAATTACTGTGTCAAAGTTAATCCTTTGCACTTTGGGGATGAGACCTTTGAAGCAAGTGAGCTTTTTTCCAAAATGGTGCCCATTTTATGCTTATCTGTAACCAGACCCCTCCCCCAACACCTCTTGATTTGTACAGTTCCCCCTTCTGAGTGGTAACCTGGAATACGTGACCAGGTGACATTGTATTTCTTGACTTCTGGAAAAGCCTTGTCATATTAAACTCTTCTGTGCTGCTGCCTACCTTTGCTCAAAACTCATTGAGAACGCCCATTTCTCTTATTTTAACTATTATTTTTAAACATGATGTTTGTTTGCCCAAGGTCACATAGCTAGTCAGCCTTGAGTAGGCATCTCCTGACCTTTCCTCAGCACCACAGCCTTCCTCTTAATGGTCTGACTTCTCTGGTGTATGGGGTAGAGGTTGCTGAGCTAAAAGATACGCCTTTGCTCTCCCAGTGTCTGCTAAAGTGGAACAAGACTTGCTTAGTTTGACGGTGCCAGGCCAAGGTGTCATGGATGCAGCCAAGGGCTCTCTGCTTGGCAGCCCACCGCAGCGTGCATTCTGTGCATTTGATGGGTGGGAATTGTGTTTTTCTTTACATCTCATCCAGCCCACAGGCTAGTGTGAACTCAGAGTCAGGTGGAATATATCAGGAATCTCTCCTTGAGCAGTCAGGCTTCTCTGTAGCCTTGTGTCATACCCAGATGGATAGCCTTTTTTTTTTTTCCACTGGGCTGGGCTGTGAGTGGTGCTTTAGGGGTGGAGGGAGAGCAACTGATACTTCTGTGTGATGGGACTGTAGTCAAGGACAGAAGGCAGGATTTTGCAGCTCATTCCTTTTGTTTCTGTGAAGTATGCTGTAGGCTGCCAGGAGAGTCTGGTTAGCCCTCTTGGGATTCTTCTCTGAGGAAGGGTCATGCAGGGTCAGCCTCAGAAGTCTGGTTACTGTCTGATGAATGTTATGGCCCAGGAAGCATGGCTTCGAAACAAGGCTATAAAAATGACAGTCTCACATTTCTTAGTCTTCATGTGTCTACCCTTCTCCCCCTCCTCCCCCATCTCCAGGTTTTTCCCAATCTTGTGTTCTTATTTTGTTTGAGGCAGGGTCTCATGGTAGCCTAGGCTTGCCTTGAACTCCTGATCATCTTGCCTCTACCTCCCAACTGTTAGGGTTTCAGTTGTGAGCCACCACACATGGCCCTGTTTTTATTTAGAGAAAAGAAGGTCTCCATATTTTCCCCAACATAGTATTTTTCACTTCATCAGTGTTTTGAATGAACAATTAAATTTTACACAAGGAAGCACAAATTCATAGAAATGACAGATCATTTTTGCAGTCATGTCTTAAAGCTAGGGTTCCAAAATTGTATTGTTTTAAATATTAAACATTGTAATGAGTGGGGGAACAGAAGGAAGGCTACAATGTGATGACATGTGACAGCTTCTCTACCCAATTAGGGGCATGTCAGCCTTTGATACTCAGGAGAAGGTCATTTTTAACACTTCCCCTCACTGGACATTGGTGGCCTGGAATGTGTGCACCACCCCCCATTTTCTGGTACTGAACTGGAGCTGGCCCTTTATCTGTGAAGGGACAATAAATATGTTAGGCTTCGTGGGAAGTACAGTCTCCAGTTAACTACTCACCTCTGCTATTGTATTGTGTTCCTGTAAAACTTTGTCTTACAAAAACAGGTGGTGGTTGAGCCTGGCTGATGTACAGCCCCTTGTGTAGATGCTCCTTGTTTGCAGGTGCTCTCATATAACCTTAGTTAATTCTTAAACAACCTCCAATTGAGAGCTGACCTCATTGCTAAAATGGAAGTAATCGATACAGAAAGGCCGAATGACTTGCCAAGACCACAGAGGTTCAAAGTCAGGACCAAAAGTCAGGGCTACTGATTTCTACTTTTTTCTGCTGTGAGAGCAATGGTGTATAATGGTCATTAAACCAAGGGCTTATTCTGTTCAGGTGTTCTAGTTTTACCACTAGTATAACCCAGGCAGTCCCATTTTACAAATGTGACATAAAAACAAAAAGGCTAACTGGTGGAAAGATACAGTTAGGTGATATAGTATCACTTTGACTATTATTGCTGTTCAGAATAAACGAAAGAGCTATTAAGATTTGGAAAAAACCTCACTTTTCATATGATAGAAGCATGACTGGTTATGTCTTTTTTCCTGCTTGTCCTGTATTTCCAAGGGTGGGGACTGTGTTTCTGCTAAAAGCTTCTAAGCTTCCTCTTAATGCCTCCTGCCTGTGTTTTGCATACTCCACCTTCTATACTACCCTCTTGCACTGAGACCTCATGCCCACAGCTCAGTTCACCTTGCTTTTCTGTTCATATTGCAGTGTCACAATGTCTGACCGGAAGGCAGTGATCAAGAATGCAGACATGTCTGAGGACATGCAGCAGGATGCTGTTGACTGTGCCACACAGGCTATGGAGAAATACAACATAGAGAAGGACATTGCTGCCTATATCAAGAAGGTATGCCAGGGGTGTTGGGATTAGCAGCTGAGTTGCACTCAAGAGGGAGGTCAGGGCAGGCAGAGTTTGTGAGAAAGTGGGTATATCGCATACAGATAAAACCCTGGCAACTTGTAAAGCAGACAATTAAGGAGTGATTTGACTTGCCAAAGCAGCCACCTGAGGAATTTGTAAGAGCTTTGCTGAGGGTGTGCATGTTAATTTTACAGATAATTATGTTACTGCGAGGCACTGGGAAAGGGGAATGCTATGCAGAGAAGCTTTAGAACTAATATTACTGACCCAATTCAGAAATATTCAAAATTACGATGAAGTGCAATTGAATGACTACTGTGATCATGTAGAGATTCTAGAGAACTGCATCATTTAAAGTGGGGTGCCCTATATAGTCCTCATGATGTGGGACGTTCTCATTTCTTTCCCTAAAAAAGGATTTAGGTACTGCACCATCCTATTTTCCCTATAATCTTTTAAAAATATCTTTGATATGAGAATTTCATACAATATCTTCTGGTTATATTCAGCCCCCTCTCCACCCCAACATCACTACATCCCCTCCCCATATTCTTTTTTTAATTACATTTATTTTTTGTGTCCATGTTCTATGACATCCATGTGGCGGTCAGTGGACATCTTACTGTAGTCGGTTCTTTCCTTTCACCATGTGGATCCTGAGAATTAAACTCTGGTCATCAGGCTTGGTGGCAGGTACCTTTATGACCTGCCCGCGCCCTCTATTAAGAAGAGAATGGGCTTACCAGGCTCAGTGGCACATGTGTTTAATCCCAGCACTCTGGAGGCAGAGGCAGGTGGATCTCTGAGGTAGAGCCAGCCTGGTCTACATAGTGAGTTCCAGGCCAGCTAGAGCTACAGAGAGACCTGTCTCAAAACATACAAGAAAAGACTGACCTTGAATATCCCTTGATTTCTGCAGAAACTATTAGGGAATGACAAAAGAAAATCTGTACGTGTTCAATACAGATACAGTTTTTCCTGAATGTTTTCAGTCTATGGTTAGTTGAATATATGGTTGTAGAACCTACAGATACAGAGGGATGACTATAATTGGGTGATCAATATTAGGGTAAGTTTGGTTCCTGAAAAATTCCAAAATGAATGGTTAACACTGAAGAGACAGCTAAGCCTCCAGTAAGACCCATGTCCACTAGAGGAATGGCCCAGTCTTTGGTCATCTAAGCTCTGGCATTCCAAAAAGGATGCACAAAAGTAGTAGCAGTCTGGTGCATAGCAGTAGGTTGTGACCGGTAGAGTCTCCAATAGGATCTCCAGTAGGATCAGAAGAGGAAACTGGAGGCATGAGAAACCTTTTGTATGGAGCTAAGGGTACAGAGTCAGTGGGGATGCTAGCTCATTTCTGACTGAAGCCCTTGCCAGCCCACCCAGGGAGAGAATGTAGAATTGGAGACTGAGCCAGAAGGAACCCTTAGAGATTTTCTGGTGTACTTTCCTTATTTGCTGTGGGAAGAATTGTGACCCAGGGAAGTGACAATGGCTCTCCTACATTATACAGAGTCTGGAAACAGGATTGAAGATGGCATTTAGTTTCCTCTGATCCTTGGTACCTCCTAGGTTATGTAGTTTGGGGGCTTTGAGGAGGTCAGACAAGGATGTTGACATCCAATGGGACAGAGAGCCCCAAGGTTGGCAGCATTGATGGGCCCATGGCAGAGGGCTACTGCCCTTTCACACCTGTTGCAGGATGCATCTAGAACTGAACTGCAGGCTGAGCCACAGTGTGCTGGGGGCTGCCTGTCTGATTAATTGGGAGATTTTATGGTGTGAGGAAATTGCCTTGGTCTCAAGATAGAGTCCTCATTCCGGTGCACAAAGTGCACACATGGTTCTACACAGCTGCTTCTTGGTACTTCTGATGTTTAGTCGCCATTTGTTCCATTGTCCTTGTTTAGAGCATTTGGAAATGCTGGTTTAGTAATGTGTGAGGCAGAGTTTCTAATTCCCACTTCTGGAATGGTCCTCCATTCCACTGTCTTCTCTGATCTTCCTGAGGAATCACAGGGTGCGCTGTAGCTAGAGGGAGGAGAAGTGATCAGGGTGTAGTGTGTGAGAGGCTTGGTGGGGAGAAATAAGGAGTCTTTATGGTGTTCCATTATTGATGAGGGGAGGAGTGTCCTCACCAGCCTTAGAACCTGAGCTTCTGAAGTTCAAGCTGAGGCCCTGGGCTCGGGGGGCAGGGTGGGGTGGGTACAACTAAAAGTGGGTGCTGGAATTGCTGGGAGGCCTCCCATTTTGATTTCTCATTCTCTAACCCCCCCTTTATTCCCCACCCCTTTTTTTTTTTAGGAGTTTGACAAGAAATATAACCCCACCTGGCATTGTATCGTGGGCCGAAATTTTGGCAGCTATGTCACACACGAGACAAAGCACTTCATCTATTTTTACTTGGGTCAAGTTGCAATCCTCCTTTTCAAGTCAGGCTAGGTGGCCATGGTGAAGGTGTCAGTGGCGGTGGCAGCGATGGCAAGCAGGCGGCGTTGCTGGGACTGTTTTGCACTGGGGCCAGCATCAGGATGTCCTCTCCAATGGCTGTGCTACTGCATGGACTGTATACTCGATTTCATGTGTATGTCGCAGTAAACAAAAACCAAACTTCTTTCTGTTTAGTTGCCTGGGGAAGAAGGCTGCTTTATGTTTATTTTTTAAGACTTAAAATATTTTTTGGTTGTATTGCACTAGGAAATCTCTCCCACCCCTCCTTTTTCTCTTTCTCTCCCTCTATGAAATAAAAGGCCCTCAACAAAGCCAGAAAGACTAGGAGGGTCAAGGAAAAGAAATAGGTCTCTGGAGGTGGAAAATGGTTCTCTGCCTCTCCCTGGCAGTGGATGTTGCTTTAGGAGGGCCAGGGAGGCTGTGAAGGGACAGTGTTAGGATTGGCAAGGAGAGAGGGATAGAAAGGAGGTGGGGGGATTGATCTAGTACCAGGGAGAATAGTCCACTGAACTGTGATTTTATGGCTTGGGGCAGGGGTGGGTGGGGGTGGAGTCTTTAAGGGGCCCTGCGATGTTTGTGGTGTGTGGGAGTGGGGAGCAGACTTGTCTTGCTGTCTTTGTCTGGATTTCTGAGTAAGGGCTGTGTCTTTGTGGACTTCCTTCCTTTATTCTTCCTGCCCTGTTAGGGAGATGTTGGGAGTAGGATTAGCTTGACTTTTTTTCCCCTTTACATTCTTCTGTCTGCTCCCTGCTTAGCCCTCATTTTTCTCATTCCTCTGAGTTCTCTTAGAGCAGCCCCTGTTGTGGGCTGGCAAGGGAATTTTTCGTGACTCTAGTTCCTTAGTTAGGTCTTACCAATCAAACCAAATCAATGTCTCCCTTGATTCTCCTTTGTGTATGTTTGTGTGTATGTCTGTGTGTGTGGGTGGGTTTGGGGTAGAGGGGAGGGCAGGGGCAGGACAAGTGGTATCTCTAGGATGTTTGGGTAGGTAGACACAGTTCTACATGGGCTTTTGTGTTACCTGTTGTAGGGTAAGGACTGGTAGATTTCACCCCTCTCAGTCATCTAGCTGGGATACTCTGCTTTTGCCCTACAGCTGTCTGCTCCCTGAGAAGGTTTTTTTGAAGGTCACTCAGGATAAGATGACCATACTGCCATCTACCCTGGAGGTGGGTCTGGGTGGAGGGGAACCTGTAGCTGGTCACAGCCTTTGGTGGGAGGTGAGCATGGAGGTAATGAGGACAAGAGGGGCTCCTGAAGAGGTCTGCCATGCAGTGGTGAAGCTCCATATATCAGAGGTGGACTGGGGCTGTGAATGGGAGGAGATTCCCCGGAGGGTGTAGAAACCTTGTCTGTTGGTGTAGGATTGGGTGGGTGGGGGTTGTTAATGCTGATGGAGCTGCTGATTTTCATGAATCACATTCAGATCTCTTGTGTAGGGTTGACACTGTGGCAGGTGGGGAAACCCAGCTCATTTTTTTCCCCCAGTCTGTTCTTGGTGGGCAGGAGAATGCCCACTCCCCAACCCCTTAGTGTGTATTGAGGTTTTTTTTTGTTTTTTTTTTTTTTTCTTTTTTTAAAGTGCTGGCAAGGGGAGGGTGGGAACTGGGGTGGTAACTGAGTTCCCTGTCCTTCAGATCTTTCATTGGGTACAAGATTGAGTGTTTGATTTTAGGTTTTATTTTTTTAATGAATGCCCAGATCTGTGTTTCCTTGCCCTCCCAGACTCTGGCCAGTTGGAAGTGTCTAGTTTTTGTTCATCTCTCATTTCTGGAGCAGGAGCTGAGACCCTGCCACATCTATGCTCTGCATCCACGCCTCTTTTGGACATTAAAGGTTGATTGATGAACTTCTGAGCTGTTGGGGTTTCTTTGGGGGTGAAGGGTTAGCTTGGTGCCACACGGTGGGGGTGAAGTGGTGGTTCAGGGTGAAGTAGAGGAAGTGTTATCTAGGTAATAAACTGGGTAATGAGCTGTTGAGTGTTGGAGATAGGAAGGGTTTCAGATAGGAAGTTGGTTGCCTGGATCTTGGGGAGACCAGCTCTGGGACAATGAGGTACCAACAAATTAAGAAGGGACTGTAGACCCCTACCTTGTCGTCCTTTACTGGTTAGTAACCAACAGTTGGAGCCTTGATGGGAGTGTATGGGAATAAGGCCTCAGTTCACCCTTCAGCTGTGAGGATGATCCTCTCTAGGCCTCAGATTCATCTGCTTCCTGCTCCAAATGTCATCTGTGAACATGGTCCTGAACAGGTAGGTGCAAGGTGCTTGATACTTGTCTGGAAGTCTCATCCTGCAAGGGCTTCCTGAAGACCAGTCCACCCTGTGGGACCCTAGAGAAGAATGGGAAGCTGAGTCACACAAGGAGGATGGGAACTGAAGAACTCTTGTAGAGGAAACAGCCCCCCCCTTCCCCTAGGGAACAGATCAAAGTACTGGGAATGAATGGAAGGGTAGTGGGTAGCAGGTACGGACCAACAGCAAAGTGTGGAATTGTCTGCTGTCTTCCCCCTGAGCCCTAGTGACCTCTAGCCTAGGTCCTCCGTGGTATGGTTGCTCTAGTCTTTCCCCTCCCTTTAGGTCTCTGCTCAAATATCAGACACCTGGACATCATTTGTGAAAGTGTCCCACCCTCCCTGCCATTGATCTGACCTCCTTTCATTCTGTATAGTCCTTACCAAGTTGCCTTTCTTACCCCATCGCCCAAATCTGGTATATGAGCTCAGTAGTGCACCCTTTCTCGACTGTTTTAATCTGTGAGCACATGGCACGGTCCTGTAGGGTGCTTGAAAAGTACCTTAGATGGAAACAGCAGAGCACACCTGTTGTCCCCTTTGATGGAGGCCACTTGGTGGCCTTCCTGAAGAATCCTGTCATTGTCTTGGTCCTTGCTGCAAGTCCTGTGTGTGTGTGTCTGCCTGAGAGCAGTGAGGGCTACCAGGTGTGCTCAAGCCTTAGCCCACTTCACCAGCTATAGGGGACTGAAAATGTTCTTATAAAACTCAATTCTTAAAGTTTTTATATGTTGCTGAACCCTCAAAAACACCCCTCTGAGCTTGGTGTGCAGTCATTAGTCAAATGATTTGTGGGATAAATAGAATCACCCCCAAAACACCCAGCTGGTAGCATTGCCCGAGCTTCATCTCAACTGGGGTGGATGGTAGGGGTTCTAGGTACTCAGTCCAGGCCTAGCTCTGAGTTCAGTAGTGAACCCTGGTTCCACCAGTGGTCCCTCAGTTGCTCTGCTTCATCAAGGGCAGGAAGGATGGGGTGTTTCTCTACCCTTACCCTTCTAAGGCTTGAGCTGCCTCCTTGTCAGGCCTCATGAGGACAGTGTCAAAGGGTCTTAGAGTATTTACTGAGTTCTTAAGTTTCCCCTGAACTAAAGAGAAGTACCCTCTAATAACAGGGAGAGACCTATCACCTGTGGCGGTCAGGTGCACCTGTATGTATCTCAGCTGTGTATGAGCTTGGTGTCCATGCTAGTAGGCACACGTCCATAGAGGACAACTGCACTAATAGTCCCGTGAAAGGTCAGAGAAAACCAGCAGAGCTCCAGTTTCCTGCTGCCTCTTGCCCTGCTTGTGAGGTTGCTGGACATGTCTATCTTGGACTTTCTAGAGAGGTCTAACATCCAAAAACTGGTGTGGGTTGAAGACTGGTTGAGTACTATTTCCAGCACTTGTGTACTCTTAGGAACTTGGACAAGTTGTTTTGACCTGAGCATCAATTCCATCATCTGTAAACTGAGATAAAACGCATCTTTCCTAAGTCTTTTTGAAGATCAAATGGTGTATATGTGAAAATGCTTTTGAGTTGGAAAGGGATGATTGAAGATATTAGGGTGCCTAAAAGATTCTGGGGCAATCAAGACCATTCTCACCCCATTGTCCCAGCCCACCCCCATTCCCCCTGCCTGGTTGTGCACATAATGGGAGGAGGTCAACGATCAGGAACCTAGCTAAAGTTGAATGTTAGGATAAATGATATGTCTCCTGATTTCCAGCTACGGTTGACCTTGGTTTGTGGTAGCAGAATGGACAAGTTCTGGATCCTGAACTGAATTCTGGTGCACAGCTTAGTGGGTTTTAGTATATATTATATACATACTTGTGCAAACATGACTATTAAGGTTTTTAACACCCTGTAAAGAAACCCTGTAACTATTAGGAGTCACTTCTCCATTTCTCCTTCTGTGTGTTCCTGTGTGTGTGGCAGCAAACAGTCCACCTTAGTATTTTCTTTTTTTTAAATAAAGGGTGTCATGTAGCCTTGGCTGGAACTCTGAGATCCTCCTGCTTCAGCTTTCTGAGTTCTGGAGCCAGGTCTTACTGAGCTAGAGCTTGCTGATTTGGCTAAAAACCTAGAGATTCATCCTCCTGTCTCTACCTCTCCAGTGCTGGGATTATAGGTGTGTGACACTACACCTATTTTTTTGTTTGTGTGGATTCTGGGGGGAGTCAAGCTTGGTCCTCGTGCTTGGGTGGCAAGCACTCTACTTACTGAGCCATCTCCCAAGTCCACTAACCTACTTTTTGTCTCCCAACTTGCCTATTATTCACACACACAAATGGAATCATAAACTATGAAGCCTTTTGAGTCTAGTCTCTTAGCATGCTTTCATGATTCATCAATTCTCTCTATATGTTTTTGTGTGGGTATTTTGAAATTGTTTAGTTCCTGTAACTGTTGAACTACCATTGTAGCAAGAAAGCAGCTATAGACAGCATGTAAATAAATGAGCATGAAGGTGCTCTTGGAAGCCTTTAAACTTGACTGGACCACGCTGCACCAACCCTCCAATCTAGATGCACATTTACATGCTTCAATATTCCAGAGCTACAAAAAGTGAATTCTTGGGCTGGAGAGATGGCTCAGCAGTTAAGAGCACTGGCTGCTCTTGCAGGAGACCCGGGTTTGAATCCCAGCATTCACATGGCAGCTAGCAACCATCTTTAACTCCAGTTCCATGGGATCTGACACCCTCTTCCGTATGTGGAACAAAAATTTAAAAAAATTATTTTATGTGTATGCATGTATTGCTTGCATGTAGATAAGTGTACCCGTGTCATGAAATGCCCGTGGAGGCCAGAAGAGACTTTCAGATCCCCAAGGGCTGGAGTTACAGATAGTTGTTAGCTACCGTGTGGGTGCTGGGATTCGAACCCGGGTCTTCTGCAAGAATAGCCAGTATTCTTAGCTGCTGAGCCATCTCTCCAGCCCCCAAGAATAAATTTTTAAAAATGTTTATTATTGGCTGGGCGTGGTGGTGCATGCCTTTAATCCTAGCACTTGGGAGGCAGAGGCAGGCTGATCTCTGTGAGTTCAAGGCCAGCCTGGTCTACATAGTGAGTTCCAGGACAGCTGGGGCTACAGGGAGACCCTGTCTCAAAAAGACCAAAAAAAAAAAAAAAATACAAAAAACGGTGCAGTGGCACACACCTTTAATCCCAGCACTCAGGAGGCAGAGGCAGGTGGATCTCTGAGTTCAAGGCCAGCCTGGTCTTCATAGTTCCAGGACAGCTGGAGCTACAGGGAGACCCTGTCTCAAAAAGATCCCCCCAAAATTTATTATTTTTGTTCTTATGTGTATGTGTGTATTGCCTGCATGTGTGTATTGCCTGCATGTAGGTAAGTGCTCCCGTGTCGTGCAATGCCCGCGGAGGACAGAAGAGGCTGTCAGATCCCCTAGGACTGGAGTTATGGACAGTTGTTAGCTGCCATGTGGGTGCTTGGACTCGAACCTGGGTCTTCTGCAAGAACAACCAGTGTTCTTCACCGCTGAGCCATCTCTCCAGCCCCATACTACCAATTTGTAATGGCACAAAATTAACATTGTTATTTGAAAATGGAAGAAGATGGGCATAACAAGTGAACAACCACAGTAAAGCAAACCCAGAATCCAGCAAGGAAAACACCAAATCTCGCAGCCCAAGTGTTTGGCATCTGGGACTTTTAATGTAATCTTCCGGGCTCCAAGGGGCTTAGGTGTCCTTACTTCCCCAGCTCTGGCCACTGCAGCACACACTGCTGCTCCTTAGGCTTAGACAAACTCCACTTCACGCCTGCAGCTCTCTGACAGACATCCTATGGTCCTATCATTTCCATTATCCTGGGGTCTACACTGCAGCTTAGACTTCACCTTCAGCTCTATGCAGTGGCACCTTAGGGTCTTTCCACAGGAACCCTAACCCCACCACACAGTGCCTGGCCTTCATTGCTCCCAATGACCCTGTCAGTCTTACATATTTGCCTTCAAAACCACTACCTTATGTCTGATGCTTACAACACTGCCAAGTTCTGCTGCCAGCTCGAGATGTAGCTGGCCCCCTTGGACCATAGATGTATCAGCATCTGTGTGCTGATCCTGAGGAAATATGTTCCTAGGCAATTGTTTTTGAGGCTCAGAGAACCCCTTCAGCTTAGGCTTTCTTCCTTTTGTTTAATTTAAAAAAATTAATTTACTTTTTTATGTGTATGAGTGTTATGCCTGTATGTGTGTAAGTATACCCATGTCTTGCAGTGCCCACAGAGGACAGAAGAGGGTGTCAGAGCCCCTGAAACTGGAGTTACAAATGGTTGTTAGCCACCAGGTGGGTGATGGGATTTGAACCTGGGTCTTCTGCAAGAACAGCCAGTGCTGTTAACCACTGAACCATTTCTCTAGCCCCAGGCCTTCTTTAAGTGAATTTGGATCCCAACAAGATGGAGCCTCTGATGGGTTGGGTTTTACCCTCAGGGATCCTTCCTGTTGTCCTGGTTCAGCACAGGAGGTACTGATCTCTCCATCAATTCCAGCTGTGTTCTCAGCACCAGCTTGAATGCTCTCCCGTCCTGAAATTTCCTCTGCCAAAC